GTGTAAATATCTGATATGCAGTATATCCGATTCGTGACCTCTGTGAAAAGGTCGTGCCCCCCACCTACTGGTTAAGAATTACTGCGGGGCCGGGCGGTGGTGGCGCACGCCTTTAATCCCAGCACTCGGGAGGCAGAGCCAGGCGGATCTCTGTGAGTTCGAGGCCAGCCTGGGCTACCAAGTGAGTTCCAGGAAAGGCGCAAAGCTACACAGAGAAACCCTGTCTCGAAAAAACAAAAAACAAAAATCAAAAAAAGAACCACTGCGGTAAAGTGAGATAAAGCACACAGACAATCGAATTCTTTATAAAAACAGTTCTTATGCTGAAACAGAGTCTTCATTGAGTGGTACTGGAGTTCATGCATGCATACTGCTCGAGTTGCAGCCATGTCTTAATTTGGTGCCTGAGTTGCAGTGCGTTCCACTACCTCTCCTTCCGCGGACATGCTTTCCTTGTGTAGCCCTGGCTGTGCTGGAACTCGCTCTGTAGACTAGACGGGCCTCGACTTCAGGGATCCATCCACCTGTTTCTGCCTCCCAAGTGCTGGGATTAAAGGCAGCACCACTGCTATGGGATTAGCTACACACCACCACCGCCCAACTTTTGAGTAGTAAATTCTTACGTAGAGCAGTTACGTCTCGATGTCATTAACATGGACTGAATGTGAGCAAGGTGATGTGGATCCATACTACTTAATCCATGCTTGGATATGGTTTTAGCAAGTCACCTTAGCCTTTAAAGAGCTTGACCTCCACTACGGGTACCAAAAACGACACCAAATAATAATTAATGACATACCTCAGGAAGGTAGGCTACATAGCCACTAAACGTTACATTGTATAAAAGTAGCTAATAGAAGAATTTTGTTTAACTTACGAAATGTGCTCAATAATTTTTTTGTTGTCAAGTTGGGGGGATGCGTGTGAGAGAGAGAAGGAGAGAGAGAGGGAGGGAGGGAGGGAGGGAGGGAGAGAGGGAGGGAGGGAATGAAAGGACATATATTTGGAATCCCTTCTCTCCTTCCACTGTGTGTTCCAGGGGTAGACTCAGATCAGGCTTGTTAGCAAGCAATTCTACCCAGAGAGTTCTTTCACCAGCCCAGTAAATTGTATCTTTAACACTATAAAATATATAGATCAACTATTGTTTAAATATATTTTATTTCAGTTAATAATAAATGTATTAAATAATAAATTAAATACATTTATTTCAGTTATAAATGTATGTTATTTTGCAAAGAAAATAGAAAGACGCACAAAGATTATTTGATAGTGAATTTTTTTCTGTTCTCTTATTAGATTATAAGTAGAGTTTTCTTCTTTGCTGTATACATTTCTTCTTTAAGCTTAAGATCATATATACTTGTTTTTTGATTTATGATTAAAAATTTAGTGTGCTATATTAAAACAAAGGCAATGGATACTTTTTTACTCCATAGTTCATGCTTTTTGTAAGTTCATGTGGGCTTTATCAGTTAATTAGTTCAAGTTTTTACATTTTATATTCTGAGTTTTCTACTTAAGTAAGTTGTTTGACCAGGGCAACATGAAGCAAGCAGATTTATTCCCTGTGCTACTTTAAAAGAATGATGCTCAGTGTATAGGAAGTTAAGATGATGAGTGACATTACTTGAAGTTAGTCATGCTTTTTAAAAAGCTAGTGCTTACAAGCTCCGTGCATGTGTTCCTAATAAAAATACATTTGCCTTAGCAAAAAGACAACTAAGTTTGGCATCCTGTGCTTCATTTTCACACTGCTGTTTACTCACTGCAAGTTGTCTGCCTGATAGTGGTTCCCAAGGATTGCAAGGCCACCCCTCACCAGAGCAGGTCTCCTCCAAGACAGACACATTTGGAAGCTTAGAAGGTAGCTCGTGCCAGCTCAGAATCATGTCCGATCGCCTGTATCATTGCATGCCCCCTCTTAGCCCCTTGTTCGCGCTCGCCTTACAACTGGCTGCATGTTCTGTAGTTTTGTGGATCTGGCTCTCCCGGAAAACAGGAGACAACCCAGCCATTCTCACCTTACTGAGTCCATCTGTTAAATGCTTTCCGTGGGCCTGAAACTAGCCTCCCAGGTTGCCTGTGTTGATTGGAACCTCCTATTAGGAAAACTAAGTGCTATTTTCTCCATGTGACAGGTAGAAAAGCTAAGGATTTGATTTTAAGAAGACAGAATTCTAAACTCTAGGAAGTGAACCCAGAACCAGTGCTGTTCTCAGTAAACTGGTTCAGTGACTGTATTAGTTATTTTTCTGTTGCCCTAACTAAATACTGGACGGAAGCCACCCAGTTGGAGACAAGTTCATTTTGTCTCACTGTTTAGAATAGTCTGTCATCGTGAGGAAGGCACAGTGGCAGCAGCAGGTCACAGCTGTGACAGCTGAAGTATGAGATGGGTGATAACGTAAAGGTGACAACCAAGAAGCGGAGACCTCAAGGCAGAAGGGGGCCAGATACTCTCAAGGCTTTTCTCCTGGCCTAAGCTAGCCATGCTTCCTGAAGGTTCCACAGCCCCTCCCCCACCGGGGCTGTCAATGGGGAACATCGTGTTCAAACACGTGAACCTGTGAAGAATATTTCATGTTCATACCACAACACTTCATCCCTTGCCCTCAGAGGCTCATGACCACTTCATAGTTAATACAAACTTTACTCAATCTAGCTTCAAGAATCCCCAGTTGTAATAATTCAAACACTGTTCAGAAACCCAGTCTCCTGAGACTCAGGGCAGATTCTTAGCTGTAAGCCCCTATAAAATCATAACACAAGTTACATCCTTTGTACAATAGCATGGAATAGACACTCCCATCCCATTCCAGAGGGAAGAGCAGGAGACTAGCAAGGAAAGCGTAGGCCACAGCAGGACTGAAACCTGTCAGGCAGGCACTGAGCCCTGGCCCTCCACTCCCAACCTGCAGGCCTTTGATGGCATCAGCTGAGCGCCCATGACCTCAATAGCCTTTCCTCTACAACCCTTGCCTGTAGCATGCACGTCTCTCTCGTAGGCCAGTGTCACTCCATTTCTACAGCCTTCCTCATCAAATGCCCCACAGTCTTGGCATCTCCAGTGTCCTGTAGTCCCCACTGAGAGTTTGGCTTCATCACTTCCCCTCTGTACGTGTCAACTTCTTAGATCTTCTCCAGGTACTCTAACCCTGCTAACATTGGCTTTTTTCTGGAACCTTGGGGAGAGCTTCCATTATCTTGTGACCATTGCATCCTGCTTGCCTGGAAACAGTACCACGTGGGTGACAAGTTCTGATGCCAGCTTGAGATGTCCTACCCCCCAGGAGTATGGCAGCAGTGGCCTCCACGCACCTGCACCTCAAACTGGAGGAAACGTTTCCCCATGCATCCCTTTTGAAGTCTAGAGCCTCTGTATGGCAACATTCTTTATCCAGGCTTATTGTTTTTACATCAAGGGTTCTCTTTTCAAAGGAAGATTTCCAGAGGAGCTTACAGTTTTCTACTCTGGTGTCTTCTCTGAATGGGAACGCTCAGGCAAATCACCTTTCTTACTGTCTTCATGGAAAGTCTGTGGCTTCCCTTTCTTGGCACTAATTAATCTCTTTAACCAGTATAATTGCTTTCTCCTCACTCACATCCTCAGCCCTGTCCACAGGTCTAAAGACACTCTGCTCTCTAATTGCACAGATTTTTTTTTTTTCATCATTCTCTTCCATTTTTGGTTTTGAACTCATGCTCTGAACCTAACTAGATGCAGTGAACAGTGACCACACCATAGCCTGGGTGCTCTGCTGTCTTAAAGTATTTTCTGCCAGACAGTCCCATTAGGTTTGAATTTAGTCTCACTCCGATATTCGTGGTACAGCAGAACTCAGTCATATTTGTTTATTTTGTCAATGATCTGTAGTTCAGTTCCTGGTAGAATTATTGTTCCATCTGAAAGCTCTTGATTACAATCTAGTGTCCACATTCCTGTTGGCATTCCAGCCTTATACACTTTCACTGGAATGTTCTAGTAAGTTCTGCTTACAGCAATCTAGTACTTCTCTAGCCTACAGCTTCCACATTCTTCCTACAAACTATTTCCAACTGCATGACCAGGTTTATCGCAGCAACAATCCCACTTCTCATACCAATTTTATATGTTAATATTTGTTGCGTTGTTGTGATGGGATATCTAGCTAGAAGCTACTTAGGGTAGAAGAGGTTGGTTTTGGCTCACAGCTCAGAGGATACCATCCATTCTGGGAAACCAGCAACTCAAGGTCGAGGTAGAGAAGACAGTAGAAATGTTGGCCTGTCTGCATCATCATGGCTGTAGAAACAGCCCCGGTAAAGCCACCGAGAGTCAGAGAGATTAAACAGCGTGCCTTGTCATTTGTATTTCTTTCTTCATTTAACTAATCAAGGGCTATGGTAAGACATCTGAATTGTGTTTCGTTTTGTTTTTAAGACTACTCTAAATCGAACTTTGGTGTTGTCTTGACCTTGAGCCAATTATCTAACTTCCTTCAATATGTCAGTTTCTTGACCTGTGAAAACAGTCATTCACCTCAGTGAATGTGTGGTGTGATTTAACTAAATAGGTTGCTAAACAGAAAACGTTTAGAAACGTGCTTGACGCGTAGTGACAGTTTAGGAATAAGCACTATAAAAATAACCATTTATATACATATAAAACTAAAGTATTTTATTTTTCATGTATTGACTGTTGAAATAACCTAATAAATAAACGTGTATGAAGTAAAATACATCCCCCTTGATCCACTTCCTGTTTCCCCTCCCCAGCATTAGCCACCAGCGCCTTCCAGAAGGTTTCCTATCCCATAGAAAAGTATTTGTAAGCGGTCCTTTCGCTAAGAAAATACCAGTTGGCAGTTAGTATTTCACGGTGTTCTGGAAGATGGGAGCATGAAGAGGTGGGGAGACGAGCATTCATTTCACAGGTCTGCTGGGGATTCGGTGTCTGTTACAGCACTTGAACTGCTGTGGATGTCTACTGACTTTTGTATGTTTGTTATTTCCTTTAGGATATGATGTTTCAGCTTCTCCGAGGTCTGGACTTTCTTCATTCTCACCGAGTAGTGCATCGTGATCTAAAACCACAGAACATTCTGGTGACCAGCAGTGGACAAATTAAACTGGCTGACTTTGGCCTTGCCCGCATCTATAGTTTTCAAATGGCCCTTACCTCAGTGGTGAGTCCATTCATTAAACGTAGTTTTTCTGTTTTAAATGACCCACTGCCCCCTTCGTGCTCCTAATGGTGTTTCTTGGTCTGTGAACGGAATGTCTGTCTGCACTTTGTGTTAGTGGTGGGCTAGGGGAAAGTGTTTTGCTTACTGCAGATGCATCTGGCTAGGTTTGTTGCAGAAATAGCCTGTTGACCTCTCAGCCACTGGAAAGGAGTCAGTGACAAATGTCTAAGTGCTTTTTCCTATAATGTGTGTTTTTACAGTTGCGTAGATAGCAATGGAAGACTGCATGGCACAGAGGCAGGATAGAGAAGGCAGGAGAAATGTCACCTGTCTGCAGCAGTGTGCCTTGAGAAACAGCCACATTGCCTACCCAGGTGGGATAAAGCAGTCCTCTGAAGCTATGATGCCATCAGCAAAGTGAGAAATTAACTTGACAGTCACCTTGATTGAACTCTGAATGATGAGCAAGCAGCAGCCAGGTGAAGGCTTCACGTGGGCCAGAGGAGAGAGAACCTGAGGCCTTGTTTTGGCAAAAAACTTAAGCTTCGGGGCTATAACAGTCCTTCCTTTAATTAACTCCTGTTTCTCTTTATAGCTCATCTTGTTGAAGTCTACACTCAGGCTCTAAGAAGAGCACCAGGAGTTAATATTAATAACCCTTTTCATTGAAAGCCCTCCTTTGTATGAAGTAAATCCATGAGTAGATAGGAGGAAGTAGTGTTCCTTCACTGTGTCACTAGTGGGGCAGGAGATGGATGCAGAGTAAAGCTGCAGGAATACTGTCCTCAGACATATTAAAGCTTAGGAGATAGTCCATCTTCAGCCTCAGAGAGGTTCTGAAACCAGAACCTGGCCTGGTTGGTGCTGTCATTGAGAAATGTGAGGTGGCATCGTTGGCCATTGTTGTGAGGGGATGAGTCAGCGCTTCTACAGCTGATGCTCCCAGAAGGCTGACATCCACACAGAGAAGCAAACCACAGCGGCCTCCCCAGGTTCCTGCTGTGTCCCATGCAAAGCTGAAGTCCAGGAGTGGAAACCATGGAGAAAAGGAGCTTGGTCAGGAAGAGCATCCACCTTACTGAAAGGTTTCCGCTTCCTTCTCTTTTTCACTCTATGCCAAGCACAAACTCAAAAATCTATAAAACCTCTTCCATTCCCAGCACTGGATACTTCTATAAAACCTCTTCCATTCCCAGCACTGGATACTTCCCCAAGGCACCAGGATCCTCTGGAACCTTCTTTGAAATACAGTGTGCTCTGGAAGGAGAAATCCCACCTGTCACCTCTTTGCCCTCTGTTTTCCAGCGCCTTAGAGAAGACCTGGCCCCAGCAGTTATTTCAAAGCCAGGCCTAGGCCTTGGGTGGAGTGAAGCAAGCCCTTATATAACCGCACCAGAAAGGGCTGCAGCTGTGAGCTTCCCCAGTGGGAAGGGTGAGGTAGGCTTTGCACTTCCTTAGGAAGTTACTCTCCTTGTTTTGGGGGGGCCCTGTGGAGAAGCTTGAATAAGGCTTTGTGATTAAGGGAGTCCTTGGGGAGCAGATGAAGGAACTAGTCCTTGGACACATTAATTGGGGGAAGGATGAGCTGAGCCAGCAGGACGCTTCATGTTAATCCCCTAAATTGGCCCTAATAACTATAAATAAAAACAGGAAACCCAGTTGGGTTTTGTTTGGATTTTGTTGTTGTTGTTAAGGTTGAAGAATGGTAACCCAGCTTGTGAGTAACATCAGTTGACATCCCATTCTTGCTGAAAGTTGGTATGTTTAAACAGGAAAATACAGACTAATTCTTTCTTATCCCCAGAAAAGGGCAATAGCAAATATAGATTTGTGATTATTTGATATCTAGTTTGTGCTGTCTATTCTGCGTTTACTATAGTGACATAATAAAAATATGTTAGTAACTGAGAAAGACCTTATTCCAAAGAATGATATTTGGAATCTCATGGCAATATTAACAGGTGTGTTTTCGTTAGGGTGCTGCATTTTAAAAAGTTCCCATTGTTGGTATTTTTTTCTGCTTGCAGGAAAAATCCACATAATAAAATGACATATGACACACACATATAAAACCAGAATCACTGTCTCTCAAACTGAACTGATAAGCTATTTTTAGTATTCTTTTAATGGACTGCACTCCAATGCCTAGAAATACCCATTTTATAGTATGTTCTGTCTCATAGGGAAATGGAAAGCCACTTTGCAGAATGGCAAAAGATTTGCAAGTTAACTGACCTGAGACCACGGTCTTAACTGCTCTGAAAAAATGTAAATATATTGCTTATTTTCAAGGCTTGATTCACAGGCCCTTTTCTCTGAACTCCCTGCAGAAACTGGCTGTTCTGGTAATAGCATAATGCTCTTAAAAAAAAAAAAAAGATTGATTTTTGTGCGTTCAGGGTGCACGCACCTGTGTGCAGCCGGCAGCCAGAAGAGGGAGTCAGACCCCTCAGAGCTGGTTGTTTGTGGGATGCCTGGCTTGTTATGTGGGAACTCGGGGGTCCAAACTCCAGTCTTCATGATTGCTCAGCAATCATTACCAACCTCTGAGCCTTTGTTCAAGCCCCCGGAGAAATAGCTCTTGTATTTTCTGTCCTGTTGGTACTCATGACTCATGTGGGGCTTTTATTTATAAGGTGGTGAAGCATTTAAAGAGGAATACCCTTGTTCAACCTGGGTGTTTGCATGGGGATTCAGGAAATACTTTCTAATGAATAAGTTAATAAATGCCAATGTATAGAATCATGCATTTTGAGTCATAAGAAAAATAGGGAAAGAATTGCTTATAGCTTTAATGGTTTCAGTATTCCACATTGCTACCTTCTGGTCCTAACACTGAAGGACTTAGTAAAATGTAGACCTTCAAATGCTCATCTTGTGCCATGGTGTTGACGAAGTCATTGGCAAGAATTCCTGTGCAAAACGAGGGAAGCTTCTTGCCCTTGTCTGGCCTCATGTTAAGATTGAAAGATGGTTTGAACTCAGGCCCACAGATGGATGAGATCTTAAAGTGACAGTAGTCCTCTTTGCTGAATTAATCACCTGGTGAATCGAACTTCTGTCCTGAGCAGAAAACTGAGGGTGTTACAGGAACATGTGCCTATTGTGCTCCTACTTATTTACGGACGTTATTTTTAACTCATTGTGTTTTGATACTAGCAAGCTTTAGAAGAGGTTTTGTATTCTTCAAAGGTAATTAACATCTTCCGAATAAAAGAATAGAATTATTAGACAGTTTTTATTATTTTCGTCCCCTGTCTATGTTGATACATCTAGTCATGTGTGAATTTTGGGGGGGTCATTAACAATAACTTGTGTTCTTGAGGGCTTTGTAGAAACTTTTCAATGTTTCCACATGTAATCTTCCTCCAAAGCTCTTTTTCTCTATCCAGCCTTATCTTCAGTATCAAAGGTGTTCATGGCATCAACACAATTTCCCCATGTAGAAATCACCAAAGATAATAATAAACTGAGTAAGGCTATTAGAGAGACATAAAAAGTACAAGAAGAAAATCACTTGGGGATTTTTAATGGCAGTAATAAGATTCTAAATACTGCATTACTTAATATCATTCATTTAATACTGCAAGTCTGACACCGTTTGAACTGCTTGTACTTCCTCAGACCAGTGTCGTGTGTGTGTGTGTGATTAGCAGTTGGTAAACACTGAAGAAACTATTCAGTTTCAGAGAATTTCATATGCTTAGGAAAAGAAAGGTAACGGGGTTGTGACTGTGAGTCAGCAAACAGTTACCAGTCACTCATACGTGCCAGGTTCTATCCATGAACCTGAGAGATGATGCTGAACGAAAGTGGACAAAGGTCTTTGCTCTCAGAGCTTACAAGCAAAATTAGGAGACAATGGCAGGGGCTGGAAGAGATGGCTTAGTGGTTAAAAGCACTGGCTGCTCTTCCAGAGGACCTAGGTTCAATTCCCAGCACTCACATGGCAGCTCACAACCATCTGTAACTCCAGTTCCAGGGGATCTGACACCTTCACACCAATGCACAAAAGATGTGTGTAATTACTTTTTAAAAATTGGGAGACAGATCCGAATATAGCAGTCGCATGAGGGAATGTAGCTTTAGAAACCTAGGAAAGGCCGGGCGGTTGTGGCCCATGTCTTTAATTCTAGCACTCCAGAGGCGGAGGTAGGCAGATCTCTGTGAGTTTGAGACCAGCCTAGTCTACAGAGCAAGTTCCAGAACAGCTAGGACTGTTAAACAGAGAAACCCTGTCTCGAAAGACCAAAAAAGAACAAGAAACTGAGGAAAATGCAGTGGAGGAATAGGTTAGAGTTCTGTGGGACCACATAACTCATGGGTTTACCCAGGCTGGAGTCAGAGAAGCCCACATCATTCACCTGTGCCAGAATGTGGGATGTTCACAAGGATCCCCAGCATCCTCCTTCCAGAACCCATGTGGATGCCAGTCTGTTGGATGTGTGTACATCAAGTCATCTGCTCAGTGTGTGACACCTAGTTAGCAAGCTCACGTGACAGAGTGAAGTAGGACCAGAGGTTGGAGAACCATGTCATCTTTTACACAGGAAAACTCTTTACGATTGCTTCTTCTCCATGCATGTGGTATTTACTCCGGAGACCCGGCAGGGCTTGTGCCTCGGCTTCAGGAGCTGAGTTGCTCCCACAGAAGCCTCCAGAGGCTGCCAGTGCATACTGAATGGATCAAACCAAGAGTGTTACATGAGCATCATGGAAAAAACCCCAAAGCCCATCGCCTCAGCACCTCAGAGAAAGTTCAGGACACACCTCTGAAGCAGGAAAGGCTCCTGTAACTCCCTCCTGCCTCAACATCTTGCCATGACACAAACAGGTCTGTTTTGTTAAAAACTTCCAGTTCCAGTCCGTATTTCATACCTAGCAATGAGGTGTTTGTGCTGGTTTCGTCTTCACTTTCACCAGCGAGGGAAGTGGAGCAGAAGGGGGGCGATGCAGAGCTGGGAACAGGACACAGGATCCCCAGGGCTGCACACGTGGAA